AGCTTACATTTCATACTGGGCCAGTTGTGAATAATAAGAAAAAGCCAAGACACAGGCAAAGGTTTTAATAGCTCCTTAAACTTGGTAAACAACCAAGATGAACATCGAAACTCGAAGAGAACAAAATGACCGACCGAGGTCGGTCACATGACTAACTATAAGTACCGCTGACCGGTACTGACGCTGTTAACTTGGGCAACAAGTTGTCCCAAAACAGCAGAGTACGTACCAAAATCCTGAGTCGTATTAAGCTCCTCGTGATTTTGATTAGCATATTTCCATGATTCTGCCAAGAGAACCCATGAAATATGAATTCTGCATCCTTTAAATCGATTGTAAATGCTACGCGGCCAATTCATCATTCATTCATTCATTTATTTTATTTATCTAGCTTTGCCTCGAGCTCAAAATACGAAAAAAAAACTCAGTAGTAATTAGTAGGAGTTTGGATTGAGGAGCACATTAGTTATAGAATGGTCTGAACCCAGGTGAATGTATGTTTATCGAAGTAACAATATTCGTATTATGATCATCCGGGTGGATGTAATCCTGAGGAGGACTGTTTGATGGGACTGACGTTTCGACAACCTGAGCAGAAGTCATCTTCAGAGTCAAGTGATGAATAAAGTCAGATTGGCCATATTTATACTGCCACGATAACTTATTACCTAGATTTGCGTAATTGGCGGCATCGGTCTAATGAGTGCGAGTCGCTGTTTCGGTGTTGTGGGCGGAGTTATTGTTTCTAATAAGCCTATTACACGGAGGCCGTAAGTTAATTGAGCGATTTAGTGGATGATGCTCAAACTAAGCGTAAACCAACTCTCCAGTTCAAGTCGTTGCTGCTAGTTAGTTTAAAACTAACGGCTCACAGCAAACTTTAATCAACCCCAACCTCCTGTGCAGGCATTTCCTTGGCTCTTTTTTGCTCCATGGAMTTCCTGTGGGGTCCTAGTTCTTCTCTGCCATAAAATTTAACACAGGAATCCGAAAAGAGAATACGTGGGGTAGGCTGCGGAGGCGAATAATTCAATGCAACCCAATATTTTGGAATATCAAATGGATCGAATCTTTTCAAATTCCATTATTTGAAAGTGAGCTATCAACAGCATTAACGAAATATCGTCACAGACGCCATTAGAAATTTCCCAAAAGTATAATGCGTTCTATCGGAATATCAAGCAAAAATCATTCGATCCTTATTACTGGATTATTACAGTAAAGTTTTATTGTTTGCTTCCGCGTATTTTAAGTTGAAAGGTATCCTATCGTAGGATAGTGAAATACAATAGCCCGAAGACTTAATTTGACATGGTTTGGCTTAAAATCTTCTAGTACAGTTGCCCCTCAATCAATCGCTTGTTTGTTTAACCTATATACAGAGGCGTTCTTGTGATGGATTTGATGAAAAAGGTCACCAGCTTAATGGATGTCGTGAGTTCACCAGTAAGAGCATCAAAGAGAGGAAAAAGTTCATRATCAGAAAGGGACTCTGTCTTCGGTGTCTGCGACATGGCTACATGTCAAAGGCCTGTGCCAACATGTAGGGTGACCCAAGGGCGGATCCAGGGGGAGGGTCGGGGGGGTCGCGACCCCCCTGTCATTCCTGAGGTCAAATGGGCTTCCTGTGGTAAAAATGCGACTGGGATATCGATTCCTTT